ATTAAATGAAGAAAATCCTTGAATCAATTCACCCTTGCCTAAAATATCAAGCAATTTTGCCCGAGGTAAAAAGAAAAAGTTCAATGATCAATAAAATTCTTCAATGAATTAGATTCGTAGACGCTGACGAAATTTTCGATCAATTCTCGCACAATTAAGTTAATTTAGATTAAATTACACTACATTGAATTGAATGAAATGACCCCCGTATTTGTTTTTCATATAAAAATTAAATGCTGAATTTTTTTAAGCATCCGGTAAATACGAATGGTTTTATTATGTCTATTTATTTTGTAGTTTGTGTAAGTGTGTAACCATTACACATCGCTGCCAATGGGGCCAACCCCCCTCAGGACCCCCCCCCCCCCACCCCGAGAAAAAATAGAAACATGTAATATTAAAAATGTATACTATCATTAATATCCACCCCACCCCCGCCGATCATGATGTTTTAAGTCCGTCCCCGTCCCCCGTCCCCTGCCGGAGAAAAATATGCAATAGTTTGCCACAAGTATTTAAATATTGGTAGGGGATAGTGTGGCGCCATCCCCTCCCTCCCCCACCGGAGAAAAGTCTGGAAGAAGCACTATGTGTGGGAGGGGGGAGGCGGCGGGTTGCTGATCCTATTATGCCATCCTAACCCCCCCCCCCCTCCTGTTCAGCTATTTCTACAATAAGAAAATACACCTCCCGATAACTACCCACAGGTCTGACCTATCCATTATCTTCCCGTCTTACCTAACATGTAGTTACTAAAGGGGCCCTGACATCCAACAATAGCTTTGTTTGTTGAGCTTATCTCTGGGATATGACATCACAATAACCATGTTCTATCCCATTATCATCATTTCAAACAGTCGGATGGTGGAGCATACTAGTGCTAACCCCGAAAGTCTCGAGTTCGAATCACGGATTCCTGTCAGTAGAACGTCCCTAAGTCCATCTATCCCTTGTGGGTACCCTTGTGGGTACCTGACTCAAGTTAGGGAAAGCAAAGCCGGCGGGGCACACTATCCCTTCATAAGCTGAGGTCACTGAAACAGAAAAACTCTATTTCACCTGTCCCATTGACCATCATGTTAAAGGGTACTTTAATTATTTTTTTTAACAAAAGATTAAGAACATTTCCGCATATATTAATAAATTATTAAATCTATCGTTATATACTAATAATATTTTTTAACCATCGAGGTATATCTGGATCCCTGGTTTTAAATTTAAACCCTCGGTCTTCTAGTTTGCTCTTTTTAAACAGTTGGTAGAAAAAATGGACAAGAAAGTGACCTTATCCAGACAGTGTTTGCTAGAGGTGACAGATGAGATTTTGAAAGGCGCAACTAAACAGAACCTAGACCTGTTTCGCTATGATAAACTGGAATTGGATTCAGACTCTCTCACCCCCACACCCGGGCCAAATAATGTCTAGTTTATTAAAAAAAAGTAATGTATATTTTTCAGCCTACGTATACATTATTTTTATGTGTATATATTTAGTTGTATCTTATATAATTCTACCAGCATCTTGAACTGGTAAGAAACTGAATAAAAATAGCTGTATTGATAGCATAAGAGTTAGCAAAGTATACACCTCTACCAGTAAACATTGAGCCAATTTTTGCGTCTAGTATGGGGGTTTAGATCTTTAACAATATCAATGATCTTAAGGGGATATGCTATGTTTTTTTTTCTATTTTTTACAGTTTAAGATCTAAAGCCTTTTGAATACTTTTATCATATTTGGCATATGAAAATAAGTATTAAACAGCAAAAAAAGGGTCGAAAACAATTTTGGTTGTCATGGAAACCCAAAAAAACCTCCGCCATTTTGAATTTTTTGGTACTTTTAAAAATACTAAGGCTTTTTTATTTATGCACCGATAGCAATCAAATTTCAACTGCTTATAATTCAATACATATTAAAACTTTTGTCACGACAGCTTTTTGAAATAATTACTAGTAAGAATTTTACAAGGTCTAAAAATTCGTACCCTTTTTAGTATTCAAAAGTTTCAAAATGTGCATATTAATTACCAAAAACCTTTTTTTATGAATGCAATCACAATTCCCTCGTGACAAAAGTTGTATTTTTGCATCAAGAACAATTACTGAAAATATGGTTGGTATGGTTTAATAAATAAAAAAGTAGTAGGGTTTTTAGTGTTAAAAACCTGCGAACTGAGAAAAACAGCCAAAAGTAACTAAAAGTAGGTCAAGAAAGTACCATATTTGTGTAAACTGCAAAGCCGATTGTAAGCTTTGGGTGTTTCCGAGATGTACGAAATTAAGATTATCAAATACATGAGAAATCTAGCTTTCTAATGATGTCAAATACAATATGATGACGGTCATAAAACTTTTCATAGAGAGCTTGTAAGATTGGGAAAAATTAATTATTTTTTAATTAATAGGGTCATAAAAATCGTAATTCAAACACATAAATTTTTTTTCTCTTTAAAGTTATTATTTTCTATATACAAAAATGGACAAAGTATCCAAAAGTGCAAGAAACCCATCATGACGAAAAACAAGAAATTTTGTGATTTTTTTTCCCGCGCATATCCCCTTAAATTACACACTATTTCATAGATAAAGCAATTTCGTTAAAAAAAATACAAAAATTATTGAATGATCAAATTCTTTCCCACCTGCCTTTGTATTCTCCAACTAAAGCCAGGTACACGCAAGAGCTGGGTTACTCGGGCACGTCTTTAGACTCGAACCCTGAATCCAAAATAGCTGTGTTTGAGCACGCCGATTCATACTACCAATATGTTACGTTATGTTGATATAGGAGAGTGTAATCCTCTTTAGATAAATATTTATATTTACAAAGAGTGCAAGTGTAAGATTCCATTTGATTCGTAGTTGGGGGAGGGGGTGTAGCCCTATAGCAATATATAACAGTTCCAATAATTGGGCGAAGGTCCCCACCACATTAAACTGTTGGTATAGAGAGGAAATTTTTTTAGACCTAAAATACATAACTACTTAAAACCACGACCAAGTTTAGTAGTACAATTGCACCTATGGCATCAGATGTCAAATGTCATATGATCCTACACAGCTTCTGACACTTGACACTTGTCAGCTGTCTTGTCATTTTGTATGACAGTGACAGGAATTCCGAGACAAAATAAATCTAAAGCGTACAGCAGAATAGACGGGCAGTACCAAAGTTCGACTTTATAGAAGACAAGTACAGTATATGTCCACATTTTTACTTTCTCGTATACGAGTTGATACAGAACTACAAATTTGATATAATACCTATATATGGAATTTCGACAGCCTAGCTGTAACGGTACTTAGTTTATCGTGTTTACAGACACACATACATACATACATACACACATGCACACAGGCACACAGACACACATACATACAAACACACAGACAAAATTGCAAAACTAAGTTTTTCATTCTCAGGGAGGTGTAAAACGTAGAGATTTGTCAAAATTTCTATTTCGCTTTTTACACCATTACCATACATTCTTTATACTTCGTATACGAAAAAGTAAAAACACTACAAAGAATATCATCAACAGTAAATGCACATCAAAATGTAATAATATTTTATTATGTTTCTAAGATCATAACTAAAATAACAAATTTAACACATTGTATGAAAACACATTATCTTACACACATTATGCCAAGAGCCATATATGAATATTGCTAATCATACATCACTACACATCAACAAATCATAGCTTGTAAAAATAAATCAATCATTGCATTTTATTTTCATTAGAAAAATTGAAAGCAAAATTGTGATGAATGCGAAATTTTAAAGATCGGTTTTTATAAAAATTCTGACTTATTTTATCAAAGATAGTTACTGAATACATTTTCAAATACAATATACGTATATTGTCCAAAGAGAGGTAACCCCGTAATACTTGATTAATCGGCCCTGCTGAATATTTTCCAGAGCCTTACTGAAAAAAAATGTATTTCCGTGTGCTTTTAAAATAGAGATCTTTATTATGTTAAACAAATTTAGAAACATTTTTAAAAAATTACATTTTGTTCCATGAGAGTTCCTATATTACCCACATATCATTTTTAGTCTTTGTATATAGTGTAAAATAAAAGTGTTGAGTGATCTAAAAAACTTTTCATTGAAGAATTACATTTTATAACCAAGTACAGTAAAATGAGAAAATATAAGAAAGTCAGTATGGATTTAATAATGAATTAACTTATTGAACAAACAGAAAAATGCACAAAAGTACATTTTCAGTTATGATAAGTTATAAAATATCTCAAACGTACTTTTTGACTGGGTTATTTGTGGTAATTTAAAATAGCTCCTAATGCTCAAATCAACATGAGCTAATTCAACCTGTTTAAGTCAATATAATAAGACAAATCAGTTGTGTCAAACAGCTGAAGACATTTAATAATGTTGTGTTTACAGTATTTTACGTTTATTCAAATAAGAAATTATTACTATAAACTGACATGTGAAAATCCGCTCATCAGACAGCAAAGAAAAATTTACTCGAGTGTATTGATAAAGACTACCATAATAAGCAATTTTTATTAACATGTTAAAAGTCTATGACATTGAGGCTACATTTTGAAAAGAAAAAACGCTATCATTGAGGAGTTGCCGATCTTTTCGTGAGTTGGAAAAAAAGGTAAATCAATACTAAATGATCTACTACTATCGTTATTTGTTTAATCATCTATGTTCGCATAGATAAAGGGGTGTCCTCATTTTTTAATTCTCCAAATTTTACCAATCCTGAAACCGAAATATGATTTTTTTTTAAACCATGAAACTTTTTCTCGAAGATATTTTTATTTAATGGCGCACGGCCACAAATAAAAGTTATCATGACATTACCAGGAACTCTATTCAGATATCATTATTTTTCTGTTTTTCAAATACAATTACTTCGCATCCATTTCTAAATACACGATGAGGTATAATATATACATTTACAAACAGATATAATATACAAATGCATGCACATTTAAGTATACCTTCTCTGTTCTATTTGTTTTATTCATCCTGATCTTCTGCCTCAGGATTTGCGTACGTGTTTAGATTGACTGTACCTCTAGGGGACGTAACTACTATTGAGTTTATTGTTTCTGAAGGGACTTTCGTGGTTTTAACTGTAATAAAATAATCAATACATTCAATTTTATTTAACTTAATTCCTGTAAAATACATATTGCTTTTAGATACTGAGAGATAAAAAATAAATCAGAGAAGATAATTTCAAAAGGGAATTAATTCTCGCACCACAACCCACACGAAAACATGAAGCACCATAAAAAAAAAACAGCACACCACCTGATCCACACCCCACCCTGCAACCAACACGATAACCCCACAACATACACCACACCTTAAAACCCCACACACTCCGCCACACATCTGAATACCACTCAAAGCACATCTTACACCACCCCCACCCATAATTCCATGATCTTTACCCATTCTCTCATCCCACATCATACCACTCCACACACACCACACCCTACTCCACTACATACATACTCCACACAACACACACACACACCATACCACTCCACACACACCACACCCTACTCCACTACATACATACTCCACACAACACACGTAGCAGACCAAACACACACACACACACACACACTGCTGTTAAAAAATTCAAAGGTCAAGAAACTTTCTGACACAGAGTTTGAAAAAACGATTCGTCTAAGTGTATTAAAAGCACTTACAAAGTATATTTAACCATGATAATGTATCATGCCTCATTCTGTCTGAAGACAAATCTTTAGAACAAAATATGACTATTGGATGTTTCTGCCCGAGGATTTTAATAACCAATTATTTTGTTTTGATTTCCAAGGATAAAGTCCATATAAATTGATGAAAGCAAGAGAAATTAAAAGATTGAATGACAATCAATACAAAAAATTAGACAAAACAACTTACACCCACATAGCATATAGCCAATGTTTGATAATAGCGTGATATTTTCACCTGTGATTGAATAAATGCTAAATATTAATATGAGGATATAAAAATTATTATTATTAGTATCATCATTATTATTATTACTATCCTGACACAGATATAAATTTACATTTTGTAAAACATAGATACCTTTGAGACTTTCAACTCGAGCTTTTTTAGAACTAAGGTTTCTGCGATCATCTGAGAAATGAATTATAATCAAATACAAAAAGAAGTGAGAAACAGGTTTTATAAAAATTTCAACATTTTAGTGAAATAAAGGTTTAGTTGAAATAAATATAGATTTCTATGCATATTCGATACATTTTGTAAAATAGATACCTTGTGAAATGTCAGTTCGCACCCTTTTACAACAGCTAGCGTCTTTGCGAACTTTTCAGAAATGAAGCAAAATAAAATATAAAAAGAAGTGAAAAACAAATTTAAAAAAAAAACCTTCAACATGTTAATAAAATAAATTATTTGAAAAAAAAAAGAGATTTTACAGTTATTTAATAATTTATTAATTGTTATAAAACTTGCTTAATTTGTGTTTATTGTTCTAAAGAGTCTATTTTTGTCTAACCCCTTCATACCATTAGTTGGATGATCTAAAATAGAAAGCAAGAGACAGTTATGTAAACGAACGTCTATGTAAAACTATTTTTCGCCTTTGACTTAAATTTCAGTGAAACTTCAGCTCATTTTGTGTTAATAATCTATTTCTATCCGTCTGACAATCTTGAAAATGTTGTGTTAAATATTGATATGACTGTGTACATGTTTTAGAACACTGTTAGGTCCCTTGTGTTTTAAAAGCTGAAGCAGTTATCGAACACAGTTTTTAACATTCCAAATTTTCCTTTAAAAAAAATTCTTAAAAATTGAAATAAAGTTATAACTGAATGGGTCTGTTCTTATAAAGGAAAATTGTCATGGAGATAAAGACACAAAGTGTTTTAAAGTGTATTTACAATACATACCAGGAGGAGTATTTACTTCAGACGAATCTAGCATAAGCTGTAGGCTTTGTCGTTCAAGTAACAATTCTTTAAGTTTATGGTTTGTTAACGAGCACAGCTCTTTTAAGATATCTTTTGAACTGGGGTCTAATTTCAGAGCTCTGCGTTGGAGCTTAAGGGCACGGTCGATTTGATTCAGCTTTGCGTAGGCCTAGTAAAAAGATAGTATAATTTACTTCAGGTTTCTCTAATTATAAAATGTATAGGTTAAAAGGTTGAATCGAAGTAAATCTAACATTAGTACCTTTCCGATTACAAAAAGAACTTTGCTGTGCTCTTTTATCTTTAACGCCCTTTTGCACATTTCAATTGCTTCATAGAACTCCTCCCTCTGATAATATACAATGAATAAAAAAAAAATGAATGACATTATTTCAACATTGTAACTAAGTTAAATTGATTAATCTAAATCTTGGTATGGCGGCCTTTTATCCATGACTGCATGGTGTAGGATTCTATACAAACACGGGGCAAGCAATACAGAGAAAGCAACATCGGATATTGACCAGGGAATCCTGCTGGCCAGTTAGCGAAAAGCCGATGAAAGATAGAATTGCAATGTCAATTTAGGTTTTCGGACATTGGCCAACCACTTCGCAAACTGGCCGCACTTCGGGTACTTCTTAGCAAACACACACACGCACACACACACAAATCTGGGCGCCAAACCGCACCCTTCTCCCTTCGAAATTTAATTTTTCCCACTATTTTTATAATCAATTCCCCCTAGTTTGTTGGCCGTTGAATGAAGGATGTAGTGATGCATAAATCAAAACAGACACACAGTATAAACAAGATTATATACATGCCTGAATAAGACACTCTGCAAGCCAACGCAAACAATTCAATTTGGTTTGCTCAACGTAATATGTTAAATGATCGCTAAATTTGTTGTTGAACTTCGCATTTTCAAAGACATCAATGGCGCTTTAAAAAAGATATTACATACATTTAAGAATTCAAAGGACACAAAAAAAAGATTCTATATTCGTGAATTAAAAATTTTAAACCATTAATAGGATGAATTAAGACTTTAAAGTCGGTTTTTTTTTTCTTTTTTTTTTCTGGTTTATTTTTCATGTTTTTTCATTTGCAGTGAATACTTAAAGTTTTAAAATTATAAATAGCAATATTATCACATCGGTCCATTGTACAAAATTAAAACTTTTTTTCAAAAATGTTTAATCATTAATTACTCAACTGATTTTTAAAAATATTTTATAAATTATTATTCTAAAAACTAAAATTAAATTTGAGGGTACTAGTAGCGAGCATGTTTAAATGGTTGGCAGCTAGTTAATACACTTTTTTTAAAAAGCGAGAGGGTTTTAAAACTAGCATACAGAGAATAGAGGAAGTATTGAAATCGATCTAAATAATTAACAGATATTTTGATAGTTTTTACCATTTCACACTTTCCTATTTTATGATATATGGAATATAAAGGATGCACTGTATTCGTGCAAAAATCTAAAAAGAGGTTTTGAAAAGGTCCTTCCATAACGAAAAAACCCTTAATATTTTGGTGCTCCATATTAAATTTGATAGCTATAGATTTTAAAAGGACACATTTGTTTTTTCAAAAAGCTTATAAATATCAAATTATCAAAAGTTCATACCTCAGATAGCTTCTGCTGGCGCCTTTATAATCTGCTAGAGCAAACAGATGGTCACCTCTCTCCCTTTTTGTGATCCTACAATATATATATATATATATATATATATATATATATATATATATATATATATATATATATATATACAGAGAGAGAGAGAGTAATACAGACAGACAGATTTATGTTTGTATATATTTCTGTATTTATTTATTTGTTTCTCAGTTTATCTGTTTGTTTATGCATTTGTTCGTTCTTCCGTCCTTCCGTTCGTTTTTTAGCGACATAATTTTTATTGAAGAAAGCAAATTGTTTTATCATATTACCGGCGTGTAAAGTACTTCTAATTAGAAAGTTTTAAACATTAATTATGCTACAAAAATGAAAAATGAAAAAACGATACATTTTTCTCGCTTTAAAAAAAATCAGTCTGAATAATGTAGCTATTATGCAATGAGAAAATTTGTCTGAGATATATTTTTCCATATCTTTTGTCCTGCTATATTTAGTCTTTGGATAATTTATTTTTGAGATCGATTGTCCGAAGATATTTTGTCGTGAGACATTCAATCCTTGAGATATTTGGTTTAGGATATATTGTCTAAGATTATTTGTCTTGAGATCCTCTATCATAAAACCTTAAGTAAATTTCTAATATCGTATTCGTAGCATGTAAGTAAAAAGATATTTTTCATACCCTAGCTTCAATCTTTGAGCCACTGCTATGTCAAATATGTTTGTAGAAGACACTGTCTTAACAAGTTCCAAAGTATACTTAATGTCTGCATCTCTTGGAATATCTGGCTGTCTAAAACAAATAAATGTTAAAAATATATTATTTTTTTTTAAATTAGGTAGTGTCACGGCAGTGGCGTTGCTAGGGCGGGTGTTACCCGGTGCGGCACTTCATGGTGTCACCCCACCCCTTAAAACACACCAAAGGAAAAAAGAGTATATATAGGTGTGTGTGAGAGAGTGTGTGTGTGTGTGTATGTATTATCGAGATGGTCAATGTGTACTGATTAGAGTGTTAAACTTTGAATTATTCATTAACTGAACAGGCAAAAGGCATTTTCTTATACCGGTGCGGTCCGCACACCCCACCCCTGCCTCGCGACGCCTCTGTGTCACGGTAGTGTAACAGTGAATGGAAGATCACTCCAAAAGAAAATTTAAAAAAAAACATAATAGTTTACCTGCCTACTGAGCCATATGCAAACTTTGAAGATGCCAAAATTTCGCATTTTTCCCCCACCTCCATGTCTGCGGCCGCTGACTCCAAAGCTAAAATAAAGGGTGTCTATTGTTACTTTACTACAAATAGCCCTCAGAAGGCTATTTGTACTTCGCTATTTTTAGCAGGCCGATCATATGACAAATGCTTATTTAAACGACAGTGGTCATTGCGGAGCAAAGTTAGTCATAGTGCGTTTGCAAATAAAGCGGTATTAGTGGTGATTACCCAGGGGTGGCCTCTTTCGTTATAACACAGAAAGGCATCTGCATTTTTAAGATGTCAAGATTTACGCTGGACAACAGCCAGCAAAGAAAGGTTAACGTTACATGTGTGTTGATGATACACTAAAAACACTGGTTTTACGTTACGAACCTGAAGACCTAATCACGTTTTTGAAAACTATTTCACGTGTTTTTAATATTAATGTGACTAAGGCTTCCATCATTTTTTTTTATTTGCATTTTTATGTCTTATACACTTCGTACAAAATGCTATTGTAAAAATTAAATTAAGTTTTACTCATTTATTTAGTATATCTCACAATAATTACGTGTAAAAAAAAAATCCATCTCACAATAAAAGATAAGGTTAAAATCCACAAAAAATCATCCTAAATGCTATAAATATTTAGCTGCGAGAAATTTTGTTCCAGATATTTTGTCTGAGATCATTTGTCCATGATACTATTTGTCCTGAAAACTTTAGTTCATGATATCATTTGTCCAGACACATTTTGTCCTAAAATCATTTGCCCGTGAGGTATTTTGTCCGTGAGATCATTTGTCCCGAGATCATTTGTCCCGAGATCATTTGTCCCGAGATCTAACATCTTACCAAAAATTGCGTCTCCATCATTCATAATAAGCATTTTGCATCCTGTGTCCACAAGAGCATCATCAGATAATCTACCATCAACTTTTAAGATGACGAGGTCTCCTTTTTTGGGTTTAGTGTCAAAGCCTTTTCCAACTTCGATGACCTAAAACATTTTTTATTTATTAAAAGGGTTTTAAGCCAAAAACATATTAACTACAAATGTACAAGCAAAATGTAGGATGTTTGTTGTTATTTAATCATACCATAAATTGATCGAATACTTTCTGACAATAGACGAGTAAAAGATTTTTGCTACAGTATAGGATTCACCCTCAGACCCACAAGAAAGCTACAGTGATGTGAAATATATGTATGTGAACTACGTATTATAAATAGTTTGTTCGGTAACGGAAATATTGTATGTTGAGAATGTGTGAATTCTTTTGATGTTATACAGCGCAAACAAGCTGATGTTTACTTTGATTATTTATAAATGCGGCGACGACGGGACATGTCACGAGTATGGTAGGTAAGACAATGTATGCAAGGACAATGGTGTGCTAGTTTGGGGAGTTGGAGAATTTATTAAACTGCTGTTGTCTAGAGCAGAGGCGTAGCGAGGGCGGGGCGGGGGGTGCGGAACGCACCGGGTGCAGTGGCGGAACTAGAAAAAAAAGGCTCCCCCGCAAAGAAAAAATTAGGGCCCCTTATATATATATATATATATATATATATATATATATATATATATATATATATATATATATATATATATATATATATATATATATATATATATATATATATATAATCTATATCCAACTGAGTAATTTAGTCTACTTCATTGCAATAGATAACCATTCTGAGAGAACCAACCAGAAAATCTTAGTCCAAACTCATCTTGAGCTACCAAAATAACATAAACTTGCTGGTCAAAAATATATAAAGACGTTAGCTTGATCCGTGAATGGTTTCTCGCGTTATGTTTATTTTTTTTTCATTTTTGGCTTTTATAATATCAATTATGAAAACATTGATTTTTATAGCTATACTATTGTATAGTACGTCTTATTTAAATTAATTTTGAGAATCAATTGTTTTTTAATATACAAAGTACAAAACTATTTAAATAAGCTTCGTGGGCATCCCTATTTTAAAGAAGGGCAGTAAGTCATGGAAGTAGTGTGAATGTTTACCTACCTTTCAAACTATAGCTCTTGTAGATTTTAAAATATTTTTCTACGCAACAATCTCTGCTATAGTAGACCTGTTTTTTTTTTTTACAAAACCTCTTTCAAAACGCATGAAAAACTTAATTTCTGTAAAAAAAAATGCATTGGTCGGAACTGGGCCCCTAAACGTCCTGGGCCCCCCCGCATTGCGGGGTCTGGCGGTATGGTAGTTCCGCCCCTGACCGGGTGACGCCATTTAGGGTTGGTGACACCATGGCAAAAAATTGCAAAATGTACAAAAGGAAAATGCTTTTTGCAATGTAAGCAAAAAAGTGCTAGGTGCAAACAGTTGTTCTTGAGCAGTGTAAAAAGAGAAGAAAAATGCTTTTTGCATATATTTAAATTATAAGCTTATGTAGGCCGACACACACACACACACACACACACACACATATATATATATATATATATATATATATATATATATATATATATATATATATATATATATATATTATAATAGATTGACGACAGAAGCCTGTGGTTGTATATAACACATTTAATGGGTCTAATTACCACGATGATGGTAATACACCAGAGAGGACGGAAGGAAGTACACAAGGGACATCACTCAAGATAACAATATTATAAATATAACTAATACAGAAGAGTGAGTTCCCTTGACCTCACAATTATTTCAATCTATTACATCCCTTTACCCTTAGAACACAATAACACATCTCTCAATAGAACAATTGATAGTATCCTAAAATCACCCATTTATATTGTAACATGAACACTATGGTAGATTACATCCTTACAAACAATGCACAATATGCTACAACATAATCAAAATACAAAACAATAATGTCAAAGTCCTTTTGACCTTTAGAATCATAGGTCTAACTTATTTGGGACCTTGATTGTCCTGCTTGACCTTCTCAGTGGCTTTTGATTTGGTGACTCAATATTCTGACCATCTGGATTCTCTATCTCAGGAGGTCTAGGATTTAAATCATTAACTCCAGAATTTACATTTTCTGACTCCAGACAACTTGGTTCACTCATATCAACAGAACTTGGTTGTGAAACAAACTGAGTTGGTGTGAACTGATCAGACTTGGTGGGATTGACAGATTCACACTTATTATCTGCACAAGTTATTTTTAACTTTATAAGACACAGGTCCTGTACCTTGAACAATTTGACCTGGTATCCATTTTTCCTTTCTCCCATAATTTCTTAGATACACATTCTTATTAACACCAAATTCTCTTTCAATGAATGTCTTGTCATGATTTAATGGAACTATTTTTGAATTGGCATCTGGAAGTATTATGCTGTTATTCAGATCCTTAATTGACATAGATTTCTTTGATTGATCAATTTTCTCAGGTAATCTGATAGTGCTTTCCTGGTAACCAAAAATACTGTTTAAGTAATATTCTGGACCATATCACTTTGCAACTGTGATCCAGTATTTGAAGTGGGTGTATTAAATGGCAAAAATCTTTTTTTTTTTTTCTTTTGATGTTACCCTTTTAGTTTCTGTAAGTGCTAATGATGTTAGCAAAGTTGTTTGATGATCACATTCCTTCTTACTAATGTATTTTCTTTAAAACATTTGAAATTGCCATATCACCATAATCATTTATGAAGTTACAAGTACTTTGTTTAGGTAATTCTGACTGATAATGGACTGCATCTTCTCCATCTTTTATATTATCTTCACAAAGGGTTTTATTTCTTATTTAATATGGCCTTAAGTCATCATTCACAGACTCTTCAGGCCAACCATTCTTACAGTACTCATATACTTTTATTAAGCACTCATCTTTTTGTGTTTCTCTTTTAATATCATTCACATTTATATTGGAGTTATCCATGATAGTGAAGAGAACAAATACATCTTCTGGTACATAGCTCAGGCTTTGGTTTTTTAAAGGTAATCTACTAAGACTATCTGCACTATTCTCAGATCCAGGTTTGTATTTCAATTCATAATTGTATGCAGTTAGTGTGATAGCCCATCTTTGAATTCTTGGTGAGGCATGCTCAGGTAGGGTTTTGTTTTCTCCAAATAAACCTAGCAATGGTTTATGATCTGTAAAGATGGTGAACTTCCTACCAAACAGAAACTTATGAAATTTCTTAACACCAAAAATGATGCCTAAGCCTTCCCTATCTAACTGAGAATAATCTTTCTCAGCCTGGTTCAAAGATCTACTGGCAAAAGCAATGGGTCTGTCACCCTTCTCATCCATGTGGAACAAGACTGCTCCTACACCATCTGGTGAAGCATCACATGTCAATACAAGTCTTTTCCCTGGGTCATAGTGAGTTAGTAAGGTGTCAGCAGACAAAGCCTCTTTTGCTGTATTAAAAGCAGCTTCTTGTTGTTTACCCCAGTGCCAAGTTGCATTTTTCTGTAGCAGCTTGTACAGTGGTGATAGTTTACCAGACAGATTCCCTATGAACTTTGCATAGTAATTTATTAAGCCCAAAAAAGCTCTTAGTTGTTGGGTATTTTCAGGTTTGGGTGCTTCTTTAATGGCTTTTGTTTTCTCAGGTTGAGGTCTGATGCCTTGTTTGCTTAATATATAACCAAGAAAACTAATTTCTGTCAACATGAATTGACATTTATCTTTGTTTATCTTTAAACCTTTTTCACCAACAATTTTCAAGACTTTATCAAGTGTTTTAAGATGTTCAGTGTCATTCTTACCAGTTATGTACACATTGTCAAAGTACACACAAACATTTGGAATATCCTTAAAAATACTGTCCATGACAGCTTGGAAAATTCCAGGGCTAGATGATATGCCAAAACATAGTCTTTCATATTGGTAGAGTCCTTTATGTGTGTTTATTGTCGTATAGACTTTTGAATCTGGATGCAGTTCTAGTTGAGTGTAAGCATGACTAAAGTCTAATTCAGTGAATTTGTCTCCTCCTGCCAAATTCAAAGAAATTTCCTCAATGTTAGGAATAGGGTACCTATTTAGCTCTATTTGCTTATTCAGTGTAGTTTTATAATCTCCACAAATTCTTATAGAACCATCCTTCTTTAACACTGGCACAATGGGTGTCGCCCAATCGGAATAGTCTACCTTCTTTATGATGCCATTAGATTCCAATCTACTTAGCTCATTTTCAATTTTATTCCTCATTGCATAAGGTGGAACTCTAGCTTTGCAGTATCTTGGATTTGTGTCTTTAATGCTTAACTTCACTGTTCTATCATTTAGTAATCCATGATTACCAAAAACACATTTATTTTCAGATATTACTTTATCTAGTGAAGTAAGACTAGATTCTTTTACATTCTTCAATGAACAAATACTCTCCCAATTTAACTTAAGATTACTTAACCAGTTCCTACCTAGTAATGGCGGTCCATTTCCTTCAACCACAAGAAGAGGAAGTTTAACACTTTGACCATTATAACTTACATGAACCATACACTCTCCTATTACCGGAACATTGTCACCAGTGTATGTTGTTAGACACTTGTGACATGGCTGTAGAGGCACTTATCCTCCTGTGACAGCGTCAAAATCTTTATTTGTTATGACTGTTAGAGATGCTCCAGTGTCAAGTTGGAAGCTTATGCTCTTACCGTTGATATTAACTTGTACATTGATGGGAGCATGACTTATTGATGTAACAGAGAACAGGTTGAAATCCGGCTGCAAATCAATTTGAGCATTTTCACAGGTAGAGTGGTTCATTGGTTGAGTTAGGTAGTCTTGGTGAGAGTTAACATAGTGCTGCCTTTGGTTGCGGTACTGTCTTGACTGGCTAGATTTAGCAACAGACGAAGACTTTGCAAAGCAGGCCTTGGCAATGTGACCTTGCCTACTGCACTTATAACAAGTTGCTGACTTGAACTTGCACTGATGAGATGCATGGGGACCTTTGCATCGATGACATTTTTGATAATTATTACTAGATTTAGATCTAGGATTTAAACGAGCAGGCTG